TTGCCCAGCGGGTTGAAGCAGCATAGCCTCTTCCAGCAGTGAGTAACAGAGTTCAGCTCTCGAGCACTTTTTACTGAACTCCCAACAAAAAAAGTACTTTGAGAACAAGTCTTCCCAGCGAAACAGAAGCTTCTGTTTCAATGCACAGATGAGCAGATTGAAGACAGCAACATCTGGTTGTTGCAGTAAACTGTCAGTTAAGGGCAGCAGAATCATGTCAGTGTTACAGACTTCAGCGCAGAAGATTTAATTATAACGTGCAGCTGACTACTTCTGAATTCAGTTACTTGATGTGTTATGCAAATAACTACTTCGAGGTGCACAGTGAAGGGATGTGGCAAGCTGGAGTCAAGTGCTTGTCGTGACTTCCACAGTCACCTAAAAGACTGTCTGTGGTCCCTTTGCTTTGATCAGGCTGTGGACTAACCAAATCGATCCGTCTTTTTCCAGAGCTCTCAGCTCAAATCCAAAGGGCCATTCAGCTGGAGGAGGAAAGGAGACGAGCCCAGGAGGAAGCAGAACGCTTGGAAGGTGATCGTTTGGCTGCTCTGCAGGCCAAGGAAGAGCTGGAGAGACAAACTAAGGACCAGATAAAGAGCCAGGAGCAGCTGGTAAGACACAGCCATTTTGAGGACAAGATACACAGGCACGTTGCTGTGCCCTTTGAGAAGGCAAAGCCTTCTTCTCTGGGGAAGAACGTGGTGCAATGAAGCACTAAACTATGCGATAGCATCGTTGTGGCACAGGTTCTATCATGAGCAATTGACTTTTTGCTCTTAATTTCCTATGCAGTCTTTTTCACAGTGGAGTGTACCGCTTGGGTCTTTGCTCAGTCAACAGTGTTCTGTTGTTTCATTTTTGGTTTGAGTTGGGTTTTTTAAGAGTCCTTATAATTACAGTTTTATTATCCAACAGGCTACAGAGCTTGCGGAGTACACGGCCAAGATTGCACTTCTTGAAGAGGCAAGGAAGCGTAAAGAGAGTGAGGTTGAAGAGTGGCAAATCAGAGTGAGTACCTCTGTTTTACAAAGTTGCTCCAAAGTTCTCTGCTTGAGCAGAGCACAGCATGGAGCTTAGCCCGCTGTGACTTCTCTAAACACGTGGAGACAGATGTCTGTACACTAGCAGAGAAGGTCAGACTTGTGATGAAGGTGCAATATGCCTGCAAAACATCTTGCTTCCAGCAAGCCTTTAGTCAAAATTCAAAATGGAAGCCCGTATAAAACCTAAAAATGTGCTCATCATCTTGGAGCCATGGAGGGCAGGGGCCGCATGTATGAACGATGCATTTAATCCATGATGTAATGTCTAAAAACATTACATCAATCAAGAGAAGACACTGGGAATATAAGCATTGAAGTGTTCATGAAGCTGCTTTAAAGCAAGAAATGCATGAAAATATTTGTCACCCTTTTCCCAAAGGCCAAGGAAGCCCAGGAGGATCTGGTAAAGACGAAGGAGGAGCTACACCTGGTCATGACTGCTCCACCTCCGCCCCCACCGCCTGTCTATGAGCCAGTGAACTACCACGTCCACGATAACTTGCAAGATGAAGGACCCGAGTACTCTGCCTACAGCGCAGAGTTCTCCAGCGAGGGCATCAGGAACGACCGCAACGAGGAGAAACGCGTTACTGAAGCGGAGAAGAACGAACGCGTGCAGAGGCAGCTGAGGGTGAGACAGTGTGTGGAGGAGGGGGAGGAATGAAACGAGTCGTTCTTGGAAAATAGATCATTTAAGCACACAAAGCACGGTCGCTTCTCTTCGTTTGCAGTTCCTGTAGGCAGTTTGAATTAAAGAAAAGGTATAGAAAGGTTTATTCTCATTTCTCAGGCTTTGAGATTACTTACATCACCTATAGCGTTTAGGGAAGGCTTACACTGCAGCCATATGCAGGATGTTGAGGTGCTGGAGCGGGTTCAGAGAAGAACAACAAAACTAGTGAAGGGTTTGGAGAACTTGTCCTGTGAGGAGCGGCTGAGGGAGCTGGGACTGGTCAGTCTGGAGAAGAGGAGGCTCAGGGGGGACCTTCTCGCTCTCTACAATTACCTGAAAGGAAGTTGTAGGGAGATGGGGGTCGGTCTCTTCTCCCACGTTAGGAATGACAGGACGAGAGGGAATGGCCTCAAGTTATGCCAGGGGAAATTTAGGTCGGATATCAGGGAAAATTTCTTTCCAGAGAGGGTTGTGAAGTATTGGAACAGGCTGCCCAGGGAGGTGGTGGAGTCCCCATCCCTGGAGCTGTTTAAAAACCATGTGGATTTGGTGTTGAGGAACATGGTTTAGGGACCCTGACAGTGCAGGGTGAACAGTTGGACTCGATGATCTTGAGGGTCTCTTCCAACCAGATGATTCTATATGATCTGTCCAGTCATCTAACAACTGGCAGCTCTTGCCAAGAGACGCTGCGGGCACGAGCTGAAAGCGTTCGATGTTCCTTGTGTTGCAGGCGCTGACGGATGAGCTGGCCCAGGCCAGGGATGAAAATAAGAGGACCCACAACGATGTCATCCACTCGGAGAACATGCGGCAGGGGCGTGACAAGTACAAGACGCTGCGGCAGATCCGGCAAGGCAACACCAAGCAGAGAATTGATGAGTTTGAGGCAATGTAACGACGCTCGTAACAAGAAGGCAGGACTGTGGGAAAGGCAGATCTTAATGCTGTGTTCTTATTTTGGGGGGTTTTGTTAAGTGTTTGGGTTTTTTTTCCCTGAGGAGGGGTCGCTGTATGACATTTAACAGATGTTCTCTAAACCCAGAGGTGTTTGAATCTCCTTTTCATTCCATATTTTCTATTAAATTTGGTACAGTTAAAAACTCATTGTCCCACTGATCCTGGTAACTTGCACATGCCTTTGCTTAGTGCCAAAGGGCCTTATGTCACATCTCTCTTGAAGCAAGACAAACTTTCATGCTTCTAGTGGAAGATACGTGTCCTGTGCAGGTGCTGGCCTCAGTTTGGTGTAAAAAGAAGCAAGTGTGGGTAACTTTGTGCCATATGTCTTCGTATTATCAGTTACGGTGTAAATTCCAAGAGTTGAGAAGACAGGTTGTAGAACTCAGGATTTGCAAGTACCTCTATGTACATGTGTAGATGCTTGCACCTGGTGTTTACACCCTGCTTTTTGTCTTGGTCTTGATGCCCACCACACACACACACACGTGCACAAAAGAACTGACGACACCTCAGAACTACTTTGTGTAGAAATTGGGCTTTTTCTGGTTGCTGTTCTCAACTGGAGAAATTCTGCAGGGATGGCTCAGAAGTGTGGCAGAGGGACACTGACACCCTCCTCACGTAACAACTAGGCACATACTGTGTTGGAATCTAATACACTCCTGTGTTTGCATTCCAGCTTCATTACTGATCACTTATAGTGTAGTATTTATATATATATAAAAAACATGCAATACTAGTTTAAAGGGAAATAGTTTTGCTCTGTATATTTTGTTACTTTTCAGATTTAATAAGACTTGCACCTGTAAAAATGCCTGAACAACACTGCAGTCCGACGCAGTGCAGCTGATTATTTGCTACAAAGCATTGTTTGTAAAGATCACTTTTTTACTTAATTAAAATTGTTATATGTACACATGATCCAATATATACAATTTTACTGCACCTATTTTTCTAACAAATTTTCTAATTTTTTTTTTAAATGTTTGATTTAAAGTTTCAGACTCCAAAGATGAAGGGACTGCTTGTTTATATCACAGTTGTATTCTCTCTAGTAGAGAGCATTTCTGTGACCATTCCTTCCCCACTAATTTCCCCCTTTCCTTGAAAATCTGTTAGAAAGTGAGATACAGTATGTTGTCAACTCTTCTCTTCCATTTATAACATCTATGCTGCTTTATACTTGAGTTGAATCTTGTGTGGTTTTTTTTTTTTCTATTTGCAGCAGCAAACACCTAAATAAAAGATCTGCAAAGTAACAAAGGATGTGGAGTCAAGTGTTTGTTGTGCGAGGTGTGTTTTTGTGAAGTGTGCTACTGCTCTTTGCTCCTGAGCTTAGCATGAATCCCCATGTCTTTAACTCCTAATCCTTAAAAGCCACATTGACCTGGAAAGGAGAAAAGGAGAATACTTGCTGTAACGACTAGTGTGACCACCTTCACCCTAGTCCCAGGGAAGAGGTATAGAGCAGCAGCACTAGTTACAGTTGTACACATGAAGTTTCTGCTGACTGTAACACTACATCTGAGGCAAAGGGAACCGACACAGCAGTTGGGCCTTGCATTTCCACCAGTTTACATGAATAAGTGACCAGTTCAGCTGTGCCGTCCACCGTATGGAGCAGACCTCTTCACACTGCCTTACATCGGCAGCTGGTAAGAACAAGGAACTGGCTACAACCACCCTTGTTCTATTAGCTGTGGTCCCACACTCCTGCTGAGGGAGAATTTATACATTGAACTGGTTTTAAGCGCCGTGATGCAGCACACGTTTGAGAGGCCAAAAGCTTTTTAGGGTCATGTGAAGTAATACTGGCACTGCAGATACTTCTGAAGCACAGAGATGTTAGCAACACCCATCAGCAGCAAGCAGTTACTGATAAGCTAGTTTTCAGTTCTTTCTGGACATGCATAAAACAAAGATCAGCATGAAAGCATACACCTTTCTTAAGATAACAGTTATTTTCTCCAAGAAGCACTCCTATCTGTGATTAAATTAAACGAACAGTTCTGTTGTGCCTAGAAATGGAAATAGCATCTGGCTACTGTTGCCGTGTCAGCATAATGCATTTCAGACTGTTTGTCACTCCTGAAGAAACAATAGTTACCTTGAACTCCAGCTACAGACACAGATAACAAAGCCTTAACTTCTGGAGAAATAAAACCTTCCGATTATCACTCGCTTTCAAATGCCTGACTCTGTTCCTCAAAAGCTGGAGTAGGTACTGGGGCAGTGTACCTTTCCCCAGACCTGAAAGGCGTGTGCCACTTGAATTTGAAACATCACCCATGGGGAAGGAAGAGCTGTTGCGTGGTTGTCTCTCACGATTTAAAGTTTTCCTTATTTGAATGCAGTACAAGCGTGAAGTCCATCCAAGTGTTGGGGCGGTGAAGCACTTCCTGCCACTGGAGCACTGATGGAGAAGCAAGGTCTGTAGAGCCAAACGATTCCTCTGCAGGAAAGCAAAAGGAAAGGTCACAGGGCCCTACCCAGTGTCTGGCCCAACCAACTGGGTAACAACCACCCTGCTTCTCCCACTTCCAGCACCATTTCAGCCGTTCTGCAGCTCCTAGGGCATTAATTGCAATAAACTCTAGTTCTACTTCTGAAGCATTATTTACCTCCTTCAACTGGGATCACTCGCTCTCAGCTTGCAGCAGAGAACAGTTTTTTTGGTTGTGCAACATAAAATCCGAGGAGCAAGTGTGCATACAACAAACAGCAGAATGGCACAAAGCTCCTGCTTCCGTTCATCTCCAGTGGCTTTAATGCACCACTAGGCTTAGGGCTTGGAGAGCTGCCTTCACTCAGAGGCAGGTAGTGTCTGCTCTAGTGGAAAGGAAAATGCTGGGTAGGACAATGAAAAGAAGTTCATGAGGAAGCCTGCAGAACATTGAGTTTAATACTCCTCTGAAGTGCGTGTTGATACCATCTCCCCCTTTACTCTGCTCTTGTGAGACCTCACCTCGAATACTGCGTCCGGTTCTGGTGTCCCCACCATAAGAGAGACATAGATCTGTTGGAGCGTGTTCAGAGGAGGGCCACAAAGATGGTCCAGGGGCTGGAGCACCTCTGCTACGAGGACAGGTTGCGGGAGCTGGGATTGTTCAGCCTTGAAAAGAGAAGACTTCGGGGGGACCTAATAGCTGCCTTCCAATACCTGAAGGGAACCTACAGGAAGGCTGGGGAGGGACTTTTTACAAGAGTGTCCACTGATAGGACAAGGGGAAATGGGTTTAAGTTGAAGGAGAACAGATTTAGGTTAGATCTTAGGAAGAAATTCTTCAGTACGAGGGTGGTGAGACTTTGGAATAAATTGCCCAGAGAGGTTGTGAATGCCCCCTCTCTGGAGGTGTTCAAGGCCAGGTTGGACAGAGCCTTGAGTAGCCTGGTCTAGTTGAGAGGCGTCCCTGCCCATGACAAGGAGGTTGGATTGGATGATCTCTAAGGTCCCTTCCAGCCTGTGCCACTCTGTGATTCTATAACAAAGTGACTGAGCCTCAATCTTTTTGAGCTTTTCATCTCAAATACTGAAACCACAGCGCTTACTCTCTGGGAAGACGGGTGAGAGACTCCACGGGGCAGTCTTCACATGAGAATGCTTCCCTGCTCAAAGACCAGTGAAAACAGGGCCTATTCAGTGAGCAGAGGGTTTCTCAGAAATTCCTCAGCCTTGAGAAACTGAGCTCGCTCTTACGTTGGAACAGAGCCCAAACCTCAGACACTGCAGTAGCCCCTTCTGAGCAAGTTTCACTTTCTTTACTTCCCCTTGATTGGACTGATTTGTGGGTGTAAAATAAGAAGCACAAATATAAGCATGGTTGGAGCCAACTAGATCATCAGTTCTTGTGCTTTCTTTTAACGAGATCTTGCAGGATCAAAGCCCAAGATTGCAAGTTGCTTAGGACAGGGACTGGGGCTGTATGTGTAGGCACATGACACCAGGTTATAAATACCGTAGTGTAAATACTATTATTTAGAATGTAAACTAAATGAACTTTTTCCCAGATTACCTCCAATTTTTAGCGATAAATAAAGAACTTACTTGCACCAAGCTTGGCTCCTCCTAGGAAGTGATCGCTTGAGCTGAACGTTGCCTGGTCCCAGACGGTCAAGTGTAGACATGACTGCTGTAGCTGAGCTGGGGTAACACCATCGAAGACAAACAAGTGTCTCCACTGGGGACAGGCTTCTTTCTTCAGCACAGGAGACTCCCGCTTTACCTCTGCTTGGTCTGGAAGGATAAGGCAACTTCCCAAAAAACAAGGAGAGTTCAGCAAGGTCACCGATTTCTCAACCAGAAAATGGAACATTTGCAATAATCAACTAGGGACCTTTGCTTTTCTTTAAATAGCAAAAAAGTTTGGTTTATGTGCAAGGTAGAACATGCTGCTAGTGTGTTTATTTTGGGACCCGCTCCTTTTCCTGTCTGCCTTCAGTGGGGGTGCAAGTAGGCTCTTCTGGTCTGCTTTTCCTTAGCTGTCACTGACTGCTGAAGGAGTCTTTACTTCCCATTGTTACTCCCCATTTACTCCCCAATACTGCCTGAAACCTGCCTTTCAGTAGCTAAAACATTCACCCATTTCACTGAAGACAGGTGCCACAGCAGGTGAAATGGCTTTATGAGGTGTTGTAATCGTACCACGGTATCATACTTTCAACGGCATCAGGATGCCTGGAGAAAAATTCAGTCCCTCTTCTTTCAAAATGTCTAGAATTAAGAGGATGAAAGTTTCCTTTTCAATGTAAAATGCCTGGAATTAAGAGGATGAAAGTTTCCTTTTCAATGTATTTAATTCTGCAAAGGCACAGCTTAAAATAGGAATGAAAATACCCTCTTGATTTGCACTTTTGCTTTTTTTTAGTTCTCCTGATATCTAAAAGCAGATACTTGAACTAGTGAACTCTAAATTTCAATGACATCAGTAAATTCTGAAGTTCCATTCAGGACCCGAAGAGCAGGTGGGACCCATCGCCGCCCTGCTGAGTGCTGCTGTTGTGCAGACACCCAAATGTCACCCAAATGTCAAGGAAGTCTGACTAAGAGTGTGGACAATGCCACTTCCACATGCCACTCTCCTG